AATCATATGATATAATATACTAAATAACCCACTCTCGTCGGTCGCGACCTGTTTACAGTTATCGTTGAATTCAAACTACATGGAGCAGGAATACACGATCGTAGTTACAGTTAGTTTGTACAAACCTCCAGCGAATCTTCTACTTTGGTCAGTAATGAGCCACAGTTCCAGGAATACACTCGCCACAATTTCTCCGAAACGCTGGTCGGTGCTGTTGTTGCGGCAACACGTTGGTTAGCAGTTCGTCTCGGCAAATGTCGGTGAAACTTGAAGCTGGGCGACGATTTCCATGGAAGGCGGTAGAAAGTTCATCGGCGACTCTCACCTCGGGGTGTGTTTCAGCTGGTCAATCAGGTTTCTTGCAGTCGCTCTGGTGTTCGGCGGTTCCTGCAATACGGTCTGGCACTGATTTGATAGTTAATTCAGGCAGAAATTGAGATGTTCTTGGACACCCGGGTAAGAAAGTTTTACCAATGGCGGCCTTGTGGCATTCAACTGTGCGCGCGCAGTACAAAGTCTCAACCATTCGAATTCCCGCGCTTTATCGTGATGACGCGTTGGGTACAACTATGTGATTATGAAATATGAAATAAAATACGCAATCATCCAAACCTCGCATACGTATCGAGTGACCTAATAAACTCTGTACCAAAACCCTGTAAACATGGGACAAAATACAATGTTCCAGGATAAAACAAAAGGAACAAATCTCCTAATCTGTAAAATATTAGCTAATTAAATTGGGCGTGAAAACAAGGTGTGACACATGCATATTATTAACTTGTTCAAAATATGTATAAATATGTAAATTCTATGCTATGCCTTTTCATAAAAACTTGTAATTTTCCAAGTGAGTATCATTGTCATCAGTAATGTCAAGCCAGCTCTAGCTTAAAGCTAGCTAAAAATTAAGTTACACTTGGACTGTAATGTACGCTTCTAATAAAACAAAATGTTTTTGGACACATTTTAAAAGAACTGACAAATACGTTTGCAATAGTGCATATATTTAATATCATGGCTATTAAGTATAAACTATTGAGTACTCGACATACAGTTAAAAGGTGGCAGTCATCGTGCCGTGGCATGTTCCATATGGACATATACAACGCGTGTAAAATACATTGTTTATTTACATGAAATTCGAACACTCACTGTGCGATGACCACCACGTTTAATTTTACAAAAGAAATGTTATACCATAAAAGTACATATTTTTATTTTAATTGTTTTCATCCTTCTGGCAATATATTTGTTTAACAATAAGTATTTTAGCACACAAGTTTTACGAAAAATGTTCAATAATTATGAACAAGTTTGAGCATTGCATCATGGGAGAACAGACATTACAGGGTGATGCTCATAGCAATGTGTTCGGTATTGGTTCCATGCAATATGTACTGTGCAAGTAAAATACATTGTTCTCATGAAATTTAAGCATGTGCTCCACACTGACCAATCCCCTTCAAGACACAATAATGGACTTGTATATTTAGGTTAAAGTTTGAAAGTCACATGACTTGTTGAATATCTAGATGCTTTCTATTTCCAGGGATCTGTCCACGCTGGTCGGTGCCGGTTGCTAGCGACCCGCACTCAGATAATAACAATTCCAGTTACTGGAAATTAATTAATACATGTATGCATGTACTGACTGCATGAATCCTTCTTGAAGTACATCAATGTAAACCACTTTATTTTCATTTTTGTTATTTTCACTGAAAGAATAAATCAGTGAATATACTTTTTTTTTCTATATTTTCATTCAACTCATCAAAAATCAGTGAAAATTGATCAAAAATTCATTTGCTAAGGCCAGACTTTTTTTATTCCTTGTTTCGCGAGTTTTTATAAGGCAATTTTTTTGAGGAAACCGGAAAAAAATAAAATTAATTCTTTTTTTCAATTAGATTTGTGTGATTCTCAAAGAATTGTAAGTGAGATCATTGGTCGGAGAGAAGAAATGAAATAAAATTTTATTCCATGTACATATAACATTGTTTCTCATCTGCACAAGACTTCAAAACTTTGATCATGATACTCCCATGAAAATGCAACTTGGATTTGTTATGCGGCAGGCGGTAAAAAAATGAAGATAAAAATAATATTTTTTTTAGCATTTTTTGCGCTTACAAGATGACGGGCGCGAGAAATTACGCTGAAATAAAATTATATTTTTATTTCATTTTCGGCTCCTGTGCATTCAGCGGGTTCGCGAAACAAGGGATAATAAAAGTCTGGCCTAATGTGAGCATCTCTTTCATCAATATTTTCAACTAATAAATGACATATTCAGCCAAATTACTCTGCACAATTTCGATGCATGGCAGCAGTTATGAAAGCAACCCAAGCTAGGTTTAAGTTAGCTAAAAGTTGAGTTACGCTAGGACCGTAGTAGAGGCAAATGAAAATCAATTTTACACAAATTTCTATCTAGCTATTTACCTGCTAAAATAACCTTCCATAAACATCATAATGGCCGTGCACAGTTCATGAGAAATCGTATCCAACAGAATCCTGAAATCGATCCAGAAAGCCTTTAGTGATTACATTAAACCTTATGTTTCGTTTCGTAATTAGATACCACAGCTTTCAGTACAAGTTAGCTTTATAGCACCAATATTTCATGATTTGTTGCCATACCAACTGATTTTATCATTTTTAATGGTGATCACAATAATCAATGGGGGGTGTTCTGCATATGATACAAAGTGGTTATGCAACTTTTATATTAAGTATATAAAAACAATTCTCAAAAAATGTAGCTCAGACCCATTCAAGTTTACGTATAGTTAAGTACTTTAGCTGGAATTAATTTTCACTGAAAAGACATTTTGACTGTTCTGTATGATATCAGAGGTACTTGGTTTGCAACTAGCGTCACATGATACCAAGATCCCATTTCAATCTCGCTCCTGCATAAGGTTTTCCAACTCAGAACAATGCAAATGTGCATGCCCAAGGTAACTAGGAGGTCCAGGTGGATCCAAATTTTCGATGTATTACATTTTTTCACTATGATAGTGGCAAGACGTGTTTTATTGTTTTATTACAAACCGTGAACATTGATACATGTCATGTCAGATAGTCGTAGTCTCGCTATCTATGAGATGAGACTTGAATGGGATCTTGACATGTCGCCATACAGAACTATGCGCGTTGTAAACCCAAAGTAACGAGTTTGATGAGTTGAATGTATTTTTACTGAATTTTATTTTCATCAATTCATCCCTTCTGCAAAAATAGTGAAAATAAAGTACATTACTGTATACTGTTAAACCATTTACTGTAGAAAACTTTATTTTCGCTTGGAA